AAGTAAGGTAGCAGCACGTAAAGGAGTTGTACGGTGATGCAGGTCATGTTCCATTTACTTGCGCTGTGGTTTTCAGCTAGTCTTTCGGTTGTTGGAACGCCGTCAATCTCCTCAACATTCAGGCTGACATCATTACCGTGATTTTTGGTGTTTGCAGGATATGCACGTGGTAACTTAATACCCTGCCGGTGTCTGATGTTCAATGCTCGAGTGCTCAGCAGCTGCTGCTGCAGAATAACCGGTGCTGGGGCATGGGGGAGTGTTGAATAGTTGGAAGAGGGATGCAAATGAAATGAGCAGCCAGCTGGTTCAGGAATCACGATGTTTACAAGAAGCTCAGTTCCTTGGAAAAGACGATCTTGCACTTCACGTCTTTGGGCTACAGGCTAGTGGACCGCGTCTACGCACTCCAGGAGGGTGTGGAGTTCTTCCACCGCTTCGCTGGCCTCTTAAAGCCCATCCCCTATGCTGGCAAGGTTGCTAGTATCATCCAGCGTGGCCTGCGTGGCATCAGGAAGTTTGTGGACAAGGTTGCGCGAGCGGCTGGCAAGCTGGAAGAAAGTTTTTTGACTCCGGCCTGTAACGTAGGTCATGCAATCGGCGAAGGCTTGGAATGGTTTCTGAATATTCTCGAAGGGACGGCTTTTGCACTTGATCTCGCAGTACGACCACCATCGAAACTGCTGAGGGAGATCGTCCAGAACATCAGCATGTGCAACATGCTGGGGACTACAGCACCTGTTGGAGATATGGCTTTCAGGACTAAATTATCACGCCAATTCATTGAACTGTTGTTGCTTGCTTTTTAGATGCTGGGAGCAGGAGAGGGTTTGGGGCGTGACGAGAATCGGGACATTTGTTGTCAGCAGCTTTTGCACATGTGAGGATCTTGGACGCCACGAACAAGTTCCAGGGCATCAGCCTTTTACCCACAACTCCTTTCACGCCGGATATTGATGGAGCAATCTTCGCGGCTTGGGACCGTGTGAAGGCACTGGTCGATGATTTGACGGGACCATTTCGTGGTATATGGAACATTCTTCATGCCAAGAGGAGAGTCTGTTTGAATTTGGTTATCGTGAAGAAATGTTGGTCCTTCAGATTGAAGGATATTCTCCGTGGTGCCAGCTTCCTCTTGAGCAAGTTCGACTTCTTGCTGGATATTTTCATGATCCCTTTTCAGCCCGTCGTGGACATGGTTAGCAACTTGTTTGAACGCGCGTTTCTGTCTCTTCTGGGAGGCTTGACTCCGGACTTCATCGGCAAGGATGCCATTCCCTTCGATGCGGAAGGAGTTCTCCAACCAAGCGATGTCCCTGGGCTGAGCTCTGTGAAGGCTTTAATGCAGCAGAACCCAGAGGAAGAGATCCTCAAAGAGGCCCAGCAGCGCTTGGACGGCTGCCTTCTCCTGAACACGGGCCTGCAAAGCTCCTGGGATCCCATTGACTCGTTGCGCTGCGCGCAAGGCAGCCGCGTGGCCTGGCCAATTCAGTGCGATCGCTTTTGCCAAGAGTGTGAGGATTGCGAGCGCTGGTGGATGAAGCCTCAGGAGGGTGCTTTCCTCTGCTTCTTGCACAGGCGCCGCGATGCGTACACGTTGGTGCAAAGTGCTACTGCCGGGATGAAGCGAGACAAGCTGTGTTTAGCTCAGAAGAGCTGTGCAAACCTTTGGGAAGAAGGGCCAGTCCAGCAGTGCGTGGGAGAGCAAATGGGGGTCACAGGCCTGACCTCGGAGACTGAGTGCCGAGAAGTGTGCTGCCACGACATCCATTGCAACTTGTGGCAGTGGCACAGCCAACGCGCCATCTGCCAAATGGGCAGATCGCGGGACTGCAGTGGAGATGGGGGCTGGGTGGGAGGGCGAAAGACGCGCACTGCAGCCGACATGTTCGGCGCCATGTGCGAGAATGCACAACGGGCTCGGGCCAGCCCAGCAGACTCGGATCCCGACTTGCAATCCGCACTGGAGCTCACCAGCAGCAGCTGCTTTGAAAAGACTTGTGCCCTGCAGGGAGTCCAGATTCCAGAATGTATGACGGATGCTGAGGCCTTTCTGGAGCAGGAGCAGGAAAGGCACGACAAGCATTGCATTTCCATTCCCAAGTGGGAGGTAGGTGCATGGAGGCCGTGTTCTACCAGCCTGTGTGGCAAGGAGGGCACACAAGCTCGGGAGGTATCCTGCTCGGTGCCAGAAAAGCCGGAGCGGTGCGAAGTGAATGAGCCTATGCCGATCACGTCAAGGCCGTGCGTGGGAGACCAGTGCTTCTGGCGGACTTCGGACTGGACAGAATGTGATGCACAAGCCTGTGGAAGCATAGGCCGCAGAACACGCGAAGTGTACTGTGCAGGAACCACGCTTGATCGTGCCCCGGCGTACCTGTGCCAGAACCACGATCCGCCTGCCACGGACCGGGCTTGCTCCAGGATCTGCAATGGTTCCGTTGACGATGCAGATCCGTGCCATGCACGGCGTGCACAGGCCTTGCCAAGGTTTCCTCTTGTGGGCCACGAGGAAGGGAGGGATGCAGATGTTGCCGTACCTGGTGATTCAGCATTCTTTCTTGTGGCGCCAAAGAGGCAGCTTGCTGACGATGCTGGTGCGGAAGCACAGCTGAGCTACCAAGAGTGTGCAGATTTGGCCACCAAGCTAGCCGTGTGCCAGTTGCAGCAGTTCAGCACTGTCCCTCCGGATGCTGGCGGCACTGCCGGCCTGGTTTTGCAGAACAGCCTATGCCAGAATCAGCTGCTGGACGAGATCAACAGCACGGTGCACGAGAACAACCGTCTCCTGAAAGACATGGACAAAAGACTCTCACAGGGGTTTCAAGATATTCAAAATGACTTGAGCGATCTCCGGTCAAATCTCACAAGTGTGGTGCAGGCAGTGGGCGATGAAGTGATAGCAGAAGTTTCCCATGAAATTCAGCAGCAAACTGACGAGCTAACAGCCGAATTTCGGCTTTTGCAGGCAGCCCATTTGAATGCTGTTCGCTGCAACAGCGACCGGCTGCTTTCCGAAGTTGTTTCACGTCTCGAGGAGATGGAAGAACGTCTCGCAGCAAGCATCGGCGACCTCAAGGCGGAGATGAAAGCAGGTTTCTCGGAATTACAAGCGCAGATGGAAGACCTGGGCGACAGGATCCTTGCAGAGTTGGTGGAGAGCAGTGAATTGGTGATCAGCTCAATCGGCTCCCAGATCAATGCATCCGAGGCTCGACTGAAGACCTTTATGACCGCCGCCTTGTCCACGGCATTAGACGCAGCCATGCAAAACCTGACGCAGGAAATTTTGCTCTCTGAAGCCCGTCTGGCTGAGCATGTGGAGCTTCACATCGTGAATGCAGTCAACCAGCTCGAAGCTAGCAACGCCGACCAGACAGCCGAGATACTGGAGTCTTTGGAGATCTTGAAGGCAGGACTGGAGTCCAGGCTGGTATCGGTGTCGGATGCAGTATCCGGAGCTCTCCGCGAGCAGAGCCTGAATGATGCGCTGCACACGGAGCGCCTGCTTGATGAGTTGTCCGGCAGCGTTGCAGTCGACATCGCCTCGGCCGCAGCTGCGTTGGATCATCGAGCTGCAGAAAGGTCAGAGCACTTAGAGGCAGTGCTGGCGAGCGCGATCTCTAGCAGCGCCGGCGTGCAGCAGGACACCCTGAAGGCTTTACAGATCGAAGTCCAGCGGGGCAACTCACAGGCCATTGCTGCAACCCAGGACACTGTCCTTGCCCTCAGCAACGAACTGCGAGAGCGCTTCCAGGGGGTGGAGCAAGCCATGAACGGCTTTGACAGGCTCTCCGAGCTGGTGTCGCTGGAGATGTCGGAAGTCAACTCCAGATTGGACGTGCAGCATGAGTCGATTCAGCATCTTCAGGACGACGTGAGCAGTATGTTGAGGCAGATTGACCTGCAGATGCAAGGCATTCAGGTTGTGGAAGATCGCGTTGCATCCTTGCTGGGCAATGTGTCTCAGCTGGCGAGGACCGTGCAGAGCGGTCAGCAAAAGCTCTCCGAAATGCTGAGTGCAACGAACAGAAAAATGGATAAGGTTCTCAGTCACATCCGTCGGCAATCCCGTGATCTGCGAAACTTCCACATTCAGGACATGCTGAGCCAATTCGATGAATCCAGTGTTCTGATCGATGGTGCGTTCTTGGACTTTAGCTATGAGCTGCTGCCCCGGGCGACTGGCGGTGTGCGCAAAGTGGGCAACGCACTTCGGCAGTACACCTCCTGCCGCTCCGACTGGTCCGACGTCGTCGCATCCTTGCGCAGCAAAGACGGGGATCAGGCTGTTGCCCGCAACCGATTGCGGGAGATTTGGGGTACGGTGCGGGATCGCTTCGTGATCGGCACCGGCATCCTGACAAAGGGGAATCTGCTCCGCACCGTGGCTGCGAAACAAAGGCTCATGTTCTGCAGGGCGCATTGTGGAGCTTGTTCTGTGTTTTTGAATTCAACTGCATCTGTGCTAGGGTGCTGCCGGTAGATACGCTGGAGAACACCCGGGCACCCGGAGCCACACAGGCATCAACTTCGAGACGGTGAGCTTCACAGTGGACCAGGCGAAGATGTTGGAGTTGCAGTTCGGCCGCAGTTGTGCCAGAAGATGAGCTGAGAGCTTTTTCGAGTCTTCAGCTGGTGAGAGTTGCCCAATATACTTAGACAGATCTCATTAACAAACAGAGCAGGAGCCTGGTAGCCAAATCTGTTGAATCGGGGGGCTGAGGGTGTGCACGTTGTTGGTGGTTACACGAACGTTTCTGCGCAAGGTGCGTGGACAGAGCTGGTAGAGCGTTTCTTCTTGCGTGTGCCCAAAGACGCATAGCGTTCTTCCAAGTTGTTCGTGTCATTGACAATCAACCCAGCTTTTCTCATACACGCCAAGCACCCAAAGCGTCCTGAGCACTACTTGTGTAGATGATTGACGTGAGTCGAGCTTCAGCCGTATATCGGCCGTCGCACTTCCTCTCGAGATTCCTTTGTGTCAGGGTAGCTTTGCCATGGACACGGGTCACTGTGTAATTGCTGCAGTGGCGTTTGTCGGGGGCTGGTTGCTTCGCGAGTTCACGACCGGTAGCCCTGAGGCTCCTGCCTGCAACTGCCATTGTGCGTGTGCGAGTGTTGGACAATCCAGTGGAACGTCCTGGAGTACCCTTGTTACTGGAGGGATAGCATTGGCTCTTCTGATTGTCATCTCAACTCAAGCTGCTCTTATTTTCAAGGTCAGTGTGAAGAGTGGAGAAGGGCGGCAGGAGCTGGCGCTGCAAGTAAAGGGCAAATCCAAGGGCGTGTACGGATCTCCCACAGGCCTCCAGCTTCTTGGCTAGGATGATGTTCCACACTGGAGATGTTGTCTATGTAGATTATGGCGAGCGACCAATATGCGTGCACACCAGGGTGGTTTTGGCTGTCGTGGATCATGGCAGTCACGAGTATGTAGTGCTCACGCCCGACTACGATGTGTACACAGAGATTCTTCATGAAAGCAACCCCGATTTTACACGTTTTATGCTACCTGGACCCCATGGTGGTATTCCTCGAGGAGTCTCAGCAAGAAATGTGTATGCGTTTGCCCCTATGTCGGCAGCTGATCTGGCGAATTACACTCAACAAGGCCGAGCTGAGGCCGAGGCCGAGATTCTTCGTCGAGGGGCTGCTGCAGCAGGTGTGGGGGATGCCGATCCCGGACCCATGGTCGGAGCTCCAGAGATCGCTGATGGCCGGCGCTGGGTGCTGGCCGAATACGTTCCAGGGCATAAAATCGGCGAAGAGGTCGAGTTGAGCTCAGGAGCTGCTAGGGATGGGGATTGGGCAATTCATCGCGTTCCGGATCTATCAGGAACAGTCCACAATGTCCTGGTTTCGAGGGTTGCGGATGCCGACTTGGAGTCTTTCTGCGAAGCTCGAATACACAGGTGCCGCGAGGCTGAGGCCATGTATGGTGACGACAGAGCCGCCGGGGATGATGCCCGGACCCTCTCCATCAAATATGGGGCCAATGGCGAGAGAAGCAGGGCTTTCAAGGAATCGGTTCAGGAGATGAGGGTCGTAGACTTTGATGATTTTCCATTCGTTCCGAGAACATGTTGCGACTACCTGAAGGCCGTCTCCAATGTGGCTGAGTCGTGTCTTGCCCAACATACCATGTGGGTGTCACAGAGCGGAATCCCCAGCGGGGATCGGTCCATATACGAGGACGACTGTCTGAGTCGAATGATTGACCTTGCTGTGAAATTTGATGGTCTTAACATTACAAATTTGGCATGTTTCGAGTTGGCGGTCCGAAGGAAGCAACTGATTGCAGAGGCGCACTCGTACTCTCCAGGAGCTCCCTCGTACGAGGCCGCAGACCACTTCCTCCAGACAGGATATCGGCCTGGGGGTGCCATAGTGGTCCCGGCGCTAACAAAACATGTGGCAGATAAGCTCCATCAAGAAGGCCAGATCCTTAAGGAGCGGCGCAAACTTCGTGAAGAGAAGGGCATTGGCAAAGGAAAGACGAAAAATCCCGGGGGCAACAAGGACACCCCTGGGACAGGGAGCAAGTGAGATCGTCAGGGGCAAGGTTGGGTGGTCCTTGTCCCGTTCTTTATCCACCCATGTCGCGGCAGAGCAAGGTTTTTCAGCCTCCTCGCCCTCGGGATGAACGCCAGAGGGATCTCTTTCCGCTGCCTTTGTTGGTGGAGGAGCCGGAGGTTGCCAAGAAGTGTCTCAGCCGCAGTGTAAAGCAGCGAATTCATAGAAGACGGAACTTGCAGAGGCGACTCAATTCGGCCGTGGTCGCCTTGAATTCACTTTTCTTTGGGAAGGAGATTCATTCTGCAAAAACATGCATTAGCATCTCCGACCTGCCTCAAGGACAGGGGGATGTGCTCAGGAGCCTGATTCATAGATTGGGGTCATTGGGTCCGCCGCCTGCCGGTGCATGCTACCGAGAAGCCCTTCAGGCGCTTCAGGTTCCCGGGGGCAGCTATGAGGCTGAACCCGGTGTTGGCGATACAGTGCCAATGGATTTGAGTTTGTTGTCCCTGCCCACCTTGAAGGGGACAGGGGTTGATCTTGAGAGTGAGATGACTGGTGACGTCGGAGAGATGATTCGGGACTTCGAGGGGTACCTCTTGCAAGATGCTTCAGCATGGGCATCGGTGGCTGAAGAGGCCGCTCGTATGAAGCCATACAATGACCCGAAGATGAGACATCGGGGTTTTTATCGTGAGTTCCTGCTACGTTTGCAGGGTTGCGGCATCCTGACGTTTTCCCACCGTGCCCGTGGTAGAGTAGGAGCCTTCACTGTCAGCAAAAAGCCAAAGGTGATAGACGGTCAGCGCTTCCTCCGCCAAAGGCTCATTCTCGATTGCAGGCAAGTCAACTTTCAATTTAGGCCACCTCCGTTGACGGAGTTGGGGTCACTTGCTGCGCTATGTGAGATCGAGATTGGGCAGGGAGAGACCATGTACATCGGGGGTGCGGACATTGCTGATTGTTTTTATGGCTGCAGGCTCCCGGCTGGCATGGAATCTTTCTTCTGTTTCAAGGAAGACCTCACGGTGAAGGAAGCCAGGGCCTTGTTCCAGGACTTACCAGAATGGGTCAATGACCTGGATGAGCATAGCATCGTTTCTCCGTGTCTGAGTGTTCTGCCGATGGGGTTTTCCTGGTCATTTTACATTGTTCAGCAGCTCCACGAACAAATCACCATGCAGGCACTTTCCCTTGATCATCGTGACCTCGTGTTGGATGCACATCCTGCGCGGGATTTCAGGCCGGGGTCTTGCTTGGCCATGCCATACTGCGACAATGTGCACGTGATCGGCAAAGATAGCAGATTGGTTGAGCGAGATCGTCTAAAGGTCTGCGAGTGTCTTCGAGAAAGGGGTTTTCAAGTTCATGAAGAGGTGCCGGCCAGTGACGTTATGCCTACCTTGGGAGGCATTGTTGATGGAGGCGCTGGGGTTGTTAGATCTACGCCCTCGCGCCTGTGGAAGATCACAATCGGGTTTGAGCACTGCTTGCGGAGACCAGTGAGCTCTGATTTTGTGCGACGTCTACTGGGGCACGCTATGGTTTTATGTGTTCTGAACAGGTGTGGAATGTCCATCTTCCGGTCGCTCTACGACTTCAGCACCAAAGGCCTCGGACGCTGTCGGCTTTGGAATAGTGCAGCTCGGGAGTGCCGTTTATTTATCTCCATCGCTCCCCTATTAGAAGGTAACCTTCGACGTGAATGGACAACCCGGGTTACTTGCACGGATGCTTCACCTGAGGGTTTTGGTATCGTCGAGTGCGAGTTGGGGGTTGACCAAGTCAAGGAGATTGGCCGATGGAATGAGCGTTGGAGGTTTAAGAGATTGCCGGTCAGTGAGTGGAGGCCCCGAGAGCGGGCTTTCAACTATGACATCGCCTCCGACCTTTTCACCGCGGAGAGGCCGGGGCCGCCACATGGTGTCAATCAAGAGTATGTTGCAAATGATGATTTTGTCGAGGTCCCGTTTGCACTCATGCAGCCAGAAAGGCGGCATACCGCAAAGGTTGGCATGTGGAAGGATACGTCCGAGCATATCAGTCTTAAAGAAGGGAGATGCTTCATTCTGGCTCTCAGGCGCCTGGCCCGTGACAGTAAGCAGAGGGGTAAGAAAGTGCTCATCCTCGTCGACAACCTAGCATTGGGAATGGCTATCAGCAAGGGTAGAGCGCATGATTTTCACATTCTACGGATTTGCCAACAAGCTGCCGCCATATCCCTTTCGTCAGGCCTCGTTGGGTGCCATCGGAGGTGAATCCAGCGGATGGTCCCTCACGTGGGAGTCTCAGTCCGAGTTCTGACTGGGAAGCCGTTGCAGAATGGAGGAGGTCTCAAGCGAAATCGGTCGGAGACGGAGCGCAGAGTGATCACCGCGAAGGCTCCGCTGGTCTCAAGCTCGCGGCCGGGGATCGGGCGTCCGAGGATGGCCATTGCGGAGGTGAAGCGGGACTCTCGTGTGCTCACGGGGACCATCGCTGCGATTCCAGCTGGCAGGGGCAAGAAGGTACGAGCGAAGACTTCGTCGAGGGTCGTGAAGGGGCGACTCTCATCAACTCCAACGACCGCTGTGGAGAGAATGGTCAAACTTGGAAAGGAGAAGGCCGCGAAATCCGAGGAGGAGGCAGATCACGACATGACCCTTCTCGAGATGGCGAGCGTCAGCGAAGCCCAGCGAAACCAGTACTCGAAGTACCTCATCTCATTCAAGGACTTCTGCAAGGAGCACGTGAAGGAGTGGCCCCCGGAGGACCTCGATTGGATGCTGGCGGACTTCTTCGACGACATGTTCTTGGAGGGGAGCTCACTGGCTGTAGGAGAGAAAACCTTGGCTGCGGTAGAGTTTCGGTTTGTTCACTCCAAGAAGGGGCTCTTGCGAGCTCGGAGGGCTCTGAAAGGGTGGAGGAAGATGAGGCCGCCTACCAGTCGCCTCCCATTGCCCAAGCCAGTGGCGTTCGGAATCGCGACGGTGATGATTGCGAGGGGGTTCAAGGACATGGCGATCAAAGTGCTTGTGGACTTCGACCTCTACCTCCGACCAGGGGAGAGCTTCGACGTGAGAGCAAAGCATGTTGTTCGGCCAATCCCCCGTTCCGGGAAGCAGTATCAGAAGTTTGCTGTGATCATTCGGGATCAGGACATGGGGAAGCCCGACAAGACGGGGACTTTCGACAACACGATCCTGCTGGACAATCCCACTACGGAGAGCTGGCTAGGGCCTCACCTGTGTCGCCTGGCCAAAAAGGTGACAGAGGACTCCCCAGTGTTCCAGTTCACCCCCGAGGAGTTTCGGAAGCAGTTCCAGAGCGCTGCGGAGGCCCTTGGATTGAAGCACCTTCATCCATATCAGCTCCGACACGGTGGGGCAAGCGAGGATCTCAACTCCAAGCTACGCGACCATATCGCGGTTCGCGAGCGGGGTCGTTGGAAGACCGATTCCAGCTTACGTCGCTATGCAAAGACTGGGAAGCTTCAGAAGCTGCTAGGGGACCTGAAAGAGTCCCATCTCGAGTTCTGCCAGCAGAGTGTGCGTCGCATGCCGAAAGTCCTGGACGGAACCCTGCCGGCTCAGCTTCCCTAGAGACTAGCTCGTGGCGAACCTGGAAAGGAAAAATGATGATCGAGGTTTTCTCTGGTGCGGGTCGGCTTACGAATGCTGTCAAAGAGTTGGGCATCCCATGCTTTCCGATTGACATCAAAAACGACCCGAATGATGATGTACTGGTTGCTAAGACTCGTTGTCATTTATACAATATCATCAGATCTGGGCGGGTTTTCTTTGTCTGGATATCCATGCCACGAGTTATTTACAGCCATGCATGCAAGCCTCGTGAAGAAATCCTCCACCCACATGATAACAACAGCAGGTCTGGTGGTTCTCGCCGTCGTCTCCGAGCCCAGGCTGAAATGCTGAAGTTTTCTGCCTCGCTCATTGAGCTCTGCCGCCTGGGCTCAGTTCCTTGGGCTTTTGAGAATCCCTGGTCAAGCCCTTGTTGGAGTCACCCGGACTTTGCACAGTTTCGAAATACTTCGCGGTTTGGGATTCTCGATTTCTGTCAGTTTGGCATGCCTTATCGAATGCGCACGGGTCTTCTTTATGAGGGCATCGATCTTAGCTCCATTGAACGATGCTGCAGTGGGCAATTTGGCATCTGCTCCCGCCGGGGGAAGAAGCACCTCATCGCTGCCCGTGCGCGTGAACGTCATACAGATGCATATGCTTATCCGTATGAGTTTGCTCGGCTTCTCGCAGAGCTGGTTCCAACGCTTTATTCACAGATCGCAAGCGGATAAGGGATGGAGAATGTGAACATACTCTCATTCCATAGGCGATGTGCCCTGGAGGGGCACTCTATTGCCGTGAGAGTTCATACAGACAAGCATGGCATAGCCATTCTGGCCGAAAAGTTGTGAGCTGAGCGCAGATAGATGTCATGAGCACTACTTGTGTAGATGATTGACGTGAGTCGAGCTTCAGCCGTATATCGGCCGTCGCACTTCCTCTCGAGATTCCTTTGTGTCACCGCCCTCCGTCCCCTCCAAACACCGGGGGATGGAGAATGTGAACATACTCTCATTCCATAGGCGATGTGCCCTGGAGGGGCACTCTATTGCCGTGAGAGTTCATACAGACAAGCATGGCATAGCCATTCTGGCCGAAAAGTTGTGAGCTGAGCGCAGATAGATGTCATGAAACGGAGATTTCTGCATGGAAGCGCCGAGGCTTCCGGGGGCTGCAGACTGCCAGGCATACCTTGGCCGCCATGGAGCCTTGGCCATCCGGCAGCTCTTGCTCGCGGCTCAGAGGCATTGAGGAGTTTGTTCGGGTCTGTGCGCAGTCGGGCTGGGGTTCAGACAGAACGTGTTGGTGCATGATGCCTTGTTTGAGCGACTGTGGGAGCGAAGGTGGTGATCCTGTCACATCCAAGTACTCGTGATAACAGCTTGAGCCGAGCAAGAAGGGATGTATTCTCATCGAACTGAACAAATCACCGGGATATTCCAAGGAGCAGCTGAAGGTTCAGCCTCTGGCTTTGGCACAGCGTGCGACTTGGCTTGCTGATCGTTGTCAGACGTGTGTTTCCCAACAATCAGAGCTGCTTGGGCCTTCTTTGTGGCATTGTGACAATGCCCCGCTGGCGCTTCTTCTCCTCTTCTTTTTCGTCCCGTTCCCTCCCATCTCCCCACAATTGATTTAAGCTTGCCTCCATTTATCAGTGATCGCATATGTGGCTTCGTCATGATATTTTTGTTTTCGCTCGGGATGTTTGTGTTGGTGTGCCATGGCATTCTGGCATCAGGATGTGCCTGACGAGCCAAGGCAACGGCTTTCTGGCATGAACTCATGGAGATCCTTCAGCAGTCCGAAGCACTGGGGGCGGCCATACCATCCTCAGAGAGAAGTCTCATAGAGCGTGCGTATGAGGACTTGCTCCGGGAGATCTTGTTCTTGCGAGAGAGGTTGGTGACCCCAGCAGAAGGGGGTGTCAACATGTTGCAGCGAGCCCACATGGAGATCTTGAACTCGCACTTGCCTCAGATTTGTCCACCTCCTCCGGCATGCGCCACGGCAATCTTCACGAAATATGCCGACGACGCCACCGATGAGTTGGTTGTGTGGGGGACGCGCAGTAGCTCAGCAAACGCAACCCTTGAGGCGCTCCTGGTGGTGCGCCAGCCAAGCATTCTGCTGCTTTTGCAAGGCTTGTTCTCCTGGAGTTTTGATTTGGCAGATCCGGATACCTGGCCCCGCCAGTTGCCGCAAGGCTTCGAACAAGCAGTGTACCTGTGCATTCCCAATGCAGCTATCTCAGGGGAATCATCTTCGGTGAGGCAGCGTCCTCAGGGCTACTCTGCCCATCGGGCCCCTGGACCAGCAGGCTTCGAGAGTGCCTTCCGCTTTTGCAGCGTGCCCGCCGCTCTGGCGACCGACAACCTGCGCTGCAGCTCCCCGGTCGACTCCTCGTTGGTGCCGGTGGACTCCTACACACCTGGAAGTGGGCTTCAGGAAGACATTTTTGCGGAATGGGAGGTTGAGGCGCGGGATGCCAAAGTACTCACGGCCATCTGTGGCAATGGTGAGATCGAATTCGGAGAGGTCTGTGACGAAGGGCTGCTTTCTTCTGATGGATGCTTGTCATGCCGCGCAGTATCTCCCGGTTACAAATGCAAGGCCAACACCAGCTGCACACCTCTCTGCGCAGACGGGCTCCTCTTCCAAGGAATGGAGGAGTGTGATGATGGTGGCATGATGCAAGGCTGTTCCACCGATTGCAAACTGAAGCTTGGTCTTTACAGCACGTTTCGAATGTGTGAAGGGTGGCTTCGAGGTAGGAGTGTACCAACTCGACCGCGCAGAGTGGATTGTCCTCTTGTCCTCTGTGAGGTTAGCGTGCCAGCGCCAGGAAGTTGGCATCAGTTCACAGTCAGTGTCTGGGGCGAGCTGGACAGACCCGGAGTTGATGGCCACGTTGCGCGAGGCGGGCCAAGCTTCTCTTCAAGAGTGGATATCGGATAGTTCCGCAGATGCGAGGCAATAGCAGAAAGCGAGAGAAGAACGAATCCCAAACTGAAAGCATTGAGACATTAAATGCAGCCTGTCCCCGGAGAATGCGGTTTGACACGATCAGTTCCCCAGCGGCTTGCAAGGGCTTGCAGAGCCCCATGCTCCCAAGGTATCAGGTGCGGTGCCGAAGAGTTCCTGAAGGGCTGGCGAGATGTAGAATACCCTTGGCAGAAACATGGGACAGAGGATCATCAGGGGAGGGCCATGGGCGACGAGAGAAGACAAGGCGAAGAACTAGGAACAAGCAGAACAATGATTAGAATAATCAGAAGAAAAATCAAGAATACTGAGACGAAGACTAAGACGTCTGCAAAGCAACAAAAGAAGCACCTCCTGCAGCTGGAACTGGCGCGTTCTCGAACTCCCCGAAGTGTGAGTTTGAATACACAGATCCGGCACGAACTGATACTCGTAAGACTGCTTCTCTCCAATGTTGCAATGCTTGGCTTGTAGTGGGTAGTTCCAATCTCTGAGCTTTTCCCTTGCCATGCCTGAGGTGCACCTGGTGCCGGCCAAGGACAGCAGCCAGCGAATGGAGCTCCAGGGTTACGTCCGTTGCTTCAGCTCCGTGGATCCTTCTCCCGACCTCGCAGTCGCCTTCGCTGACTGCCAGGGAGCGACGCGGCTGTCCTTCCTTGGAGAAGTCAGCGCGGGGCGGATGATTCGGCATGATGTGGAGCTGGAGACCGCCTTTGACCCTGTGGGTGACATGCACTACGAAGCAGGGCCATACCAGCTTCGTGCCAGATCCGAGGCAAACGGAACCGAGATCTTGTTGAGCTGCAAGACTGGCTTCCTGTGGCACCAGTGCCGCTTCTGGGCCGTGCAGTTGTCCGAAGAGACCACGGCCACGGCTTCGTCGCTAAGCCAAGATGGTCTGAGCGCTGCGCCTTTGGAGTTCACGGAGGGAGTGCTGGAGATTTGGATCCCGCCAGACTCATCGCGGTGGCTTTGTGAGGCCGCCGACCGGGTGTCCTTGATATGCGGAGATGGGAAGTTGGCCGGTCCGGAGGAGTGCGACGACGGCAACACCGACTCAGGACGGGGAGCCATGAAGCAGAATGCTGAAACTTTAAACAAGCAGTTGGTTCGCTGTGAAGAACGTCGCTCTAGTGGTTCTAAGCACACGGACCATCCTATGAGTCCAGACTTATCCCCAAATGTCACCAGTTCGTCTCCCGCTCCATGGTTGATAGGAGATGGCTGCAGCGCATCCTGCCTCTCCGAGCCCGGTTTCCTATGCCCAGAGCCTGGGATCAGTTGTTCCGAAGCCTGGTGTGGTGATGGAGTCGCCGGCGACCTTCCAACTCAATGTGATGTGGGTTCCCAAAGTTTGGGCTGCCAGTCCTGCACAGTGAGCCCTGGTTGGCTGTGCCACGAAAATTGCTCTGAGCCAGAGTCTTGGACAGTGCCTCCATCCGCTGAAGCGGCGGGTTTTGTCAACATGTCCGATGACGCAGATTCCGACGATAACTCGGCATCGCTGTTTTTCAGTCCAACTCCTGAGTTCTGCTGCCTGGAGGGGCCGAAACCCAGGAATTCCAGCTGCATCTTGGGCCAAGACTGCCAGGTGTTTCTGGAGCTCCCCAGCAGCTCCACCTCGGGATTGCTGATCACTCCCGGCCTCGGGGTTTGTGGAGACCAAGCAGCTCGGCGGACCCACCAGAAAGCTGTGCATGCAGTCTGACGACGAAGAAGGTGGTTGCCAGCACTGTTCGCGGAATGCTTGAGTGTATTTCGAGCTCCTTGAGATTTTAGCCATCTCGGTTTTCTGATGGTATGGGGTCGTTGAAAGAGGCACACAACCGACATGCATACACGCACGCACACAAATAAGGCTTTGTGCTCCAAGCGCTGATGTGGGGGTTTCCGAAAATAGGGGACCCTAATATAGTACCCTATTTAGTAGGGTCTTTATTATAAGAAGCCCCAAATAAGGTACCCCTAATTTCCGGAAACTCCCATGTATGGTGCTTGCCTTGCTTGCATGGCTGAACTGTTGCACGATGGCATGGTCCGGCGACTCAGGCAATGACGTGGGATGGAATGGCCAACCCCTCCATGGTGGAACTTCGCGATGGCCTGCAGTTCTTCAATTTTGGAAGGCCGGGCCAGTATTGGATAATGCTCTCTTTTCAGAATCTTTTCTGTTTGCCCATGATGTGGCTCTGGGTATCTAAACATATCAAGTCCCAGCTGAAGATTCCACACCACCAAGCCTTGACTGCCATCGGAGGCCGCTGATGGTTCCAGTGGGCAACTATGCTCTATGTTGGGGCCCCGATCCCGCAGCTCCCTGGGCCACCGAGGCCAAGCTACGGGCAGTACCTGTTGGAGGGGCGCTTATGTTCATCCAGCATGATGCATATAGTTGAAACAAAAGCTTCCTTACATCGCATGAGCGCATTCCGAATGCAAGTGTTGCACGAGCTGAGCCCTTGCGGAGGTGTTCAATCTGCGAGGCCAGAACTCGACGACCTCCGGAGCTCTACGCAGAAAAGCGACCTACCCTTTCGACGTTGGGCGACTCATCCTCGGTGGGCCCAAGGCACAAATAAGCTGCTCTGTTCGTTTATTTTGCACAAGGAGGGCCAGTAAGTCTGGGCAGTATCCAAAGCCAAACTTAAACAACCACATGAGTGTTACGGCATTCTGCTAACTGCAGCGTCACGGCTTGCTTTGGTATCCTGTTCAATGCAGCTCTTAATCAACACTGGCTGCAGGTTTCTTGAAGGGTGAAGGCTTGCTACCCCGTAGACACACTGTAAGTCTTTCACTTGCAGCCCTGCAGGCTAATCAGGTGTTTTCTTGCACGCTGGGCGTCCCGTGCGACATGGACTTGGAGGGCTATCACCTTCCAGCCGAAAGCGCCGTGTTCCTCGGTGGTCTTGACAGATTACTTGTAGCTCGATGTTCCGAGGAGATAGTATTTTGGTTTCGTTTTTTTTGCGTGTTCTTGATACGAAAGCACCGAGACTGGCCGTGTTCGGCAGCTGCTCGGACGATGTGCTTCGACCTGCAAGTGTGGACTACGTGCGTCTTCGGGTGGACAGCGGTGGAGCTGGGGACGGAGACGTGGCGCGATTTTTCTGGAACGAGACGGAGGTCCCAGTTGAGGAAGCGTCAGACATGGTCTTCGTCGTCTTCAACCAATTCCAGCAGGGCTCCCCGATTCAGTTTGGATTCAATGCAAGCTCCATGAGATCTTCAGATGTCGTGCATGCGCTTCGCAGCGTAGCAGATCAATCCCTGGTTCTAGCTGCTGCAAAGGGGTTAGTTTCACCCTTGGGGACCTTTGCACCTCGGCTCCTTGCTCAGCTCACGGCAATGGGTGCTCAGCAGCTCAGCCATGCCAACAGCTACGTCTCCTACGCCCTTGCGCTTTCTGGAGGACGAGCCCTGGCAGAGCAAGGTGCAGGACCAGGAGAGGGTCCCGTGGTGATTCAAGAGTTTGTGTCCACCGTGGCTTCACCCAAAGTGGCAGAGACGGCGGGGCGCATCCAGTTCGGGCGGCTGCACGGACACGCCGGCATTTTCACCCTTTGCTGGGAGAGCCAGCTGACACGGTGGAGTTCCTGGCGTGGACAGGGCTTCAAGGTGGATGTGGGCCACCTCCAGGTCGAAGGTCCCTTCCCCGGCACTTGGACTTGCTTTGCGGGAAGCCCTTGCACGGTCACTCTGCAGGGCCAGGCTCTGGTAGACTTCGCTCTTAGCGAGATCACCCTCGAAAGTGGGCCAGACTCTGGCCATGCAGCGCGCTCGGATGGGTCTGAGGACTCCGATGCGGGAGACAGTCTCACAGTCATCGGTTGGCATCGCGGTCCTTTGGCAGGTCAAGTCCGAGACACGGGAGGAGAACCAGCTTTGGAGTTCTCCTTGGGAGTTGCCTTGGAAAGGAAGCTTGTCCCTCTTGCAGTGTATTGGAGAGCAGCCCCAAGCACAGAGTGGACATTCATCGGCAAGCTTCATCTTGAAGAGCATCTTTGCCGTCTTGCAGATGAAGGGCCTGGAGAAGCTCACAATTGTTCAGACGTCCCCTTCGGAGACTTGGCGTTCCTCCTGTGACTTTCTCTTCGCTGTTTTGCTTGTGGCACCCATCCTGTTCAGCAACAATATTCCGAAATTAAAAGCAAGTAAGGAGCCTCGTGCGTGAGTCGATGCTTGGCTGGTTGGACTGGGCCTGTCAACACACTCGTCTGCGAAGCCGACGGACAGCTGACAGGACAGATCAGCACCACCAAGAGCTACCAGCATAGCCAGTATAGTAGAGCTATTTGGGTTATGCTTATCCGCCCAAGCAAGAAGCTGTAGGTTTTTAGGCACTGCCCTGTGAAATGTGTTGGAACAACAGAGCCACACGTCGATTCCGCTGCCACCACGGCTACGCGATGCATCCACGCAGGATCACAACCAGATTGTCGAGAAAGCCGATGCGATTCTGTGTCGCTGCACGCATTCAAGGAGCAGGACAAGGTTCTCTTGCAATGAAGCCAAAGTTCAGACCCTACCTAAATCCTAAAGGCCATGATGAACGAGGCTTTGTTCCAGTCCTCTCCCGAGGAGCAGTGCAGATGTTCTTCAGCCTTTTTTGGAAACATCTCGTGGCACCAAGATCTGCAGATGCATCTTGCTTTCACTCAGTTGGGTGGGACATGTGGGGCTGCATTGTGTGCGTGAGAGGTGTATATGCCGAATCTCCATTGCATGACATGCCTGTTGCAACCTGGCAGGGTTTGTGCAGCCAGAACAAATCCGAGAATACCATCGGCACTAGTCCGTGCAATATGAACGATACTGCCCAGGGCATGAAGGGTGGCTGCATCACAGCCTGGGTGCAGCGTATGTAAGGTACATGGGAAGCTGCCGGAGTTGCCAAGATGCACTACTCGCATGCGAGGCGGGTCACTTTCGAGATGGTGACCTGCCTTGAATTTTACACCTGGTTTCGAACGAATCTAACATGCGCACCTTTGCCCTAGTTGCGGTTGCAGCCAGTGTGCAGGATAATGTACAGGATACAGGAGTGCTACCGGTGCCCCAACCTGATCAGATAAGAGATGCGCGTGCTTGATGCAACGAGCGCTCTGGCAGCTTTCTGTTCTGCAGAATCATGTAATGACGTAATGTAGTTCGGACAGGTGGCAGATGTTTTGTAATCAGTCAACATGCTGTGTGTGTATATATATATACATATATATATATATAACAAAAAATATGTGCTGAATATGTGTGTGTGTATATATATATATATATCTGAATCTATATATCTGTATATATATATATATATATATATATGTATCTATATATATATATATGTATTGCGCTTATCTCCATCCATCTCAACCAGCCAGATAGGCCTCCATATCCAAGAGATTAGAGCTCTCTCGGCATCCTTCCTCAGCACAGCCGTGAGATCTGTCAAGACTCAGGTTGTGGTGGTCTGTTTGTGGGTGAGTGCAAGCCCTGCATTGGTCTCGCACTTGGGAACTACTTCACTTCGCACGGAGGTTTGCAGGCGACCGGCTGCCTGCAGGGCAGCTGTGTGAGGTGTGCAGCCGGCCAGTACACATCTGGTTGCGGGGGTACATTTCCCGGAGAGTGCAACCCCTGCACCAACTCCCCGAATGTCACGCCGCCAACCAACTATTACAGCAGCGACGGGGGGGTCACCGGAGAGTGCGCTCTGGCAGACTGCCTGAGAAACTGCCCCGTTGGCCAGTATCGCAAAGACTGCGGGGGCACCTCGCCAGGCTTCTGTGCCACGTGTGCTCGGCCTCCCTCCGGCCGCTTCCTCAGCTCCTCCGGTGGCCTCGAGGATGCTTGTAAGACATCTCCGTGTCCGGAGTGCTTGCCTGGGTTCTATCGCACCGGATGTAGCATGACAGATGAGGGCGCCTGCGTGCCATGCTCCAATGGGCCAGGCGAAGGTTTCTACTACTACACTCACGGCGGCACCCGCAACAACTGCAGCTTCACTGCTTGCAGCGATTGTTCCGTGGGCTGGTACCGACGAGGATGTGCAGCGAGCTACGCGGGAGAGTGTCACCAGTGCACATTCAAGCCGCCGGAAACTTACTACAGTGGCCACGGGGGAGTACGAAATCAATGCCCCTACAGTGAATGCGGCAAAGGACCCGATGAGTGCCCACTGGGACAGTACAGAGACAACTGCGGTACCATTAACGACCCCACCAACTCTGGCATCTGCAAGAACTGCACTCAACGTGCTCAGGACCACTACTTCACAGGCTTCTTTCGGGCAGGATGGCAAACTTTGTCGGTGCATGCAGTATACTTGACTTCGACCCTCCTTCCCGAACACAATACCTTAAGCCCTAAACCCTAAACCCTAAACCCTAAACCCTAAACCCTAAACCCTAATCAATCCCAGGTCATGGAGGCACTTCTCCACGCGGTTGTCCACAAGAACCTTGCCAGGCTTGCAGCGTAGGATTTTACCGGCTTGGCTGTGGCATTGGCGGTACCAGTCCAGGCCATGGATCCTGAGAAGCTGTGGGTTTAGGGTTTATGGTCGAGTCGTGCAGCCTGTGCTGTTTGTTGAAATAGGCCCCTGAGACCAGGCAGCTGCGAGCCATGTCGACACACAGCAGACCACTATTTTACCAGTCACGGTGGGTTGGTCCTTGAGGTTGGTGAGGGTGTGGTGCCAGCGGAGTGCCCGCAAGCCTCCTGCTGGAATTCCAGTAGCAACTGCCCAGCGGGCTATCGGCTAGGAGGCTGCGGTGAAGATGAGCATCATGTGTCTCCTGGCAACTGCCTGCCGTGCGGTGCTGGAACGTACACAAGCCTGGAGAATTGGCACGAGCCATGCCTTGTTTGTGAAGCGGGCTACTTCTCACTGCGTGGAGCCACAGCGTGTTCGGCATGTCCATCAGGCAAGTTCACAGATTCTGAAGGCCAGTCTGCCTGCAGCTGGTGCATCGGAGGCAGCACCAACACGGAACCGCCAAGGAACAGCTGCACGGAGTGTGTGAGCGGCAAATTCAATCCAGTCGAATCACGAATAGACGAATGCCAAGAGTGCATCGGAGGTGAGGTTCGTCGACGTTCAGTCCGGCCTGGTGCTGTTGACTGCACAGAATGCATTGTGGGCTACTTCGACAATGACGCATCCGATGGCGAGAGCTGCACTCAGTGCGTCGGAGGCGAGGTCCGACGGCGGCGAGCTACGTCATGCACGGGAACTCCGTCAGGCCATGCAAAATCGTACAAAAAGTAGTTTGCAGACGTAGAGAACCGATTTCCATGTGCATGTACTTCATCTGGTGGAGCATTCGACTGCATAGTGACATGGATGTTCTTTGCAGACTGCATCGATGAGAGCGCTGCTCCATGAGCTTACCACTCCATGTCTAGTTCACGTACACAACATGCTGCAAAACAGATGTAGCACTACAGCGGACGAAGCCGGCCTTGGCCAGGGATGTACAACGAGGGAGACCGCGACGAGGCGAGAGAGTGCATTGGTGGTTGGGTCCGTCGCCGATACGGCAGTAGCTGCACAGCGTGCGGCGACGGCTTCTGGGACGAACCCAGCAGGCAGGGACCCAAGCTTTCTAATTGCAGGAGCAAGAGAAGGTTGGATGAACAGAGCCATTTGCAGAAGCAGGACTAGTTAAATTTACACAACAGGCTGCAAACCGTAGAGCCATCTAGAACATGTTGAGGGTGACGCAAAGTTTAGGACCTATCCCAGCCTTAAGCCATCACATCTGGAGAGGGGCCTCTACGACTCCGGTCCTGACGATTGCCAGCGCTGCGTCGGAGAGGTTCGACGGCGAACGCTGGGGCAACTTGCCTTCACTGCGACCCAGTGCGATGCTTGCGATCCGGGCAAGTACAACGAGAGAGATGGTGTTTCAGACAGCTGTTCACAATGTCATGGCAACGTCGTGGATGGTGGCGGGGGCTGCAGCATGTGTGAGCCCGGAACCTATAAGAGTGCAGCTGAGAGCTCCTCAGATGTATGTCTTCCATGTTTGGGTGGGCTGGTGTTGGGCCGACGCTCTGCCGATGAATACTCGACTTGTGAACCGTGCCCGTCAGGAGATCGTCATGATTCCGTCATGTGTCTCCAGCCAGCGGGATGGTCTTGAGTTCACTGATGGGCCACCATGTCATATATGGCAAAATTGTGCGTCTTGGTATCGACTGTCCTGCGCAGGACGGTACAAACAGTACAGAGACGGAGACGGACATGACCACTGCGACGAGATTCCAGCGGGCTACGAGGTCCAGCATCCGCAGCCGTACCCTTGGAGTGAGCCAGGCCCTTTCTCAAATGTTGTTGGTTTTTGAGCCAGATCGGCTAGTTCAAGCGCATGTTTAGGGAGACCGGCTGAACGCCTGAACTGTGAGTGTCGTGAAGTTGAAACACTGCACAAACACTGCACGGAACCCCTCCAACCCCCGTGCTGTGCTCCTCAAAGCGTGTCCTGACCGCAGGCCAAATCGTCGAGTGCGGTCCTGGCTGGGCCAGGGCGGCGTCGCACGTAGATGCGTGTGTAAGTTGCGCCGGACGTGGAGTACACCTCGACAATAGTGGACTCCGTGTTGGCTGCAATCATGGTCTCTGTTCACCTGGGTACAACGACGGAACGTTCGATCACTGCGAGACTTGCAATGGCGATGTACAGCAAGATAGCCAATTTTGCCAACCATGCGACAGTAGCCAGCATAAGTACAATCCTGGCCCTGGGCTTGGCTGTCAGGACTGTCGTGGGGGCACGGTCGTGGATGGAGAGTGTGTGCTGTGTAAGTTCGTTTATCCGGTCTTCTATTTCAGGCCGGACAATGAGGACCACTGCCGGTTCTGTCTCGGGGGAGAGGTCGAGCCGAATTTGCCGACGGCATGTGCTCCTTGCGGAAGGGGCTACTATGTACCTGCGGCTTCGAACACTTGCATCCGTGGTGAGACCTGCCAGATCAGCCCGGACCGCACACAGTGCACGGCCTGTCTGCCTGGGCGGTTCAAGTATGACACGACGGGCGATGACTGCGAGGCTTGCAAGCCCGGCCACACTGGACAGAACTGTGAGCTCTTTGAGTCAGGTACGGAGCAATGTGAGGATGCGTATTACAAGAAGGCGTCGCACTGCACCATGCAGCACGGGATGCACCTCTACCGGCCAGCAACCTGTTGGTCGTTGTTGAGTGGTTGTGCAGGTGCTGAGAGCCAGTGCAGGGGAGATGGTTATACCTCACCGTTGTCTTGCACTACAAGTAGTGGGTATTATGACACTGCTCCCACATGCAAGTATCTCCATGCCTGCGTAATCCCCTTTGTCGGCTCCAAGGGTTACGAGTGCTATGATGCGACTTGCGCTGCCCGGCCCTCAATATACAGCTGCAGACGCTGCTGACCTCACACGGTTGCAGGACCAGGTGGTCAAGAGACTACTCAAGCGCAGATGGTAGCACACGCTGCGGGTAGGGAGCCTTACTTCAGATGGAAGCCTGTCGGGAGGCTAGTTGAGGCGCTTTCTACGACCTTCCGAGAGAGTTTAGATCAAGGCCAAGACTGCTGTGAGCTCGAAGATCTTGACATCCGGCTTAGTTTGCAGAGCAATGTTCTCTGAGCCAGCCGTGAAGCGGAGAGCAGCTCTGGTCGAAAAGCTGTCAAACACCAGTCACGGTTTAGGGTTTAGGGTTTAGGTGCAGTTTCCCTGATGCTGGCATACAGTACGGAGGGTTTGCGTAGGGCCTCGGGTTTAGTGGTGAGTTGCCTGCGAGGCCCATGGCGGGCGTACATGGCTTTGCATGCTGTTTGACTTGTTCCACATGACTCGAAATTTGCACGCTTTGAGTTCCACCTGCTGCGCGAACCAGCATTCAGAAACTTATTGTTTTGTAAGTAGCTGCAGCTGCTCTGCGTCGTTCTTCCCAGTTGTTGACTTGACATCTGGTGCAGCGTTCCGGGAAGTGTCTGTCGTGCCAGCAAATGTCCTGAGGTGTGTTGTCCGAGTTTGCAACCGAATCACGATGTGCAAGTCAGACTTTCTAGTCTGACGTTGTGCGTCCCTGTTACTTAGAGGCCCAGGGGACTTAGTAAGTAGGTCACAAGTAGGGTTATAAGTACACCCCAATTATAACCTGACTTATAACCCACTTACTAAGTCCCCTTCGGCCTCTAAGTGTTAACCCCTGTGAACGAGCGAAGTCTTAAAGAGGAAGTGGGGTACCAAGATGTAGGAAGGTACTATGACAGTCCGCGGATCAGGCATGCGTACGTATAATCACAGCATGCAAGGTTCGCTGTTCACCATGTTAAGTCCCCGTGCCGATGTGGCTCAGCCGTAGCAATATTTAGATTCTAGCAGTTTGTGAAAAAACAGCGCCCGTTTGTGCTCGGTCCGCCTCCGCTCAAACATGGCCTTTCATTGGACTTCCGCCATTGCCGTCGCCATCCTTACCGGTTGCTGCTATTGATTTGGTGTTAAGGGTCTGACCTTAAACAAAAACTATCGGCAACAGGGTTGTGCAACGAATAGTATTCGATTGTATGTAGACACTCACACACACACAGTTTTATGGATATGGAAGATACCTGTAGTCGTATATGTCCGCATTATGGTGTTTTGAACTATGCCTAAAACCTAAACCCTGAGCCTTGAACCCTAAGCTCATAAGAGTTCAGGTTGGGGAGGCGGCTGGCCTCTTGCGCTTGGTTTCCGCTGGGGCCCCGAGGAGGAACCTACACCGCGGCCTCGGGCCCCGCCTACTGCAAAGGTGCGGGCTCCGAAAAAACACTAAACCTTAAGCCCTAAACCCTAAACCAGTAGTTTAAGTGTCCGTCAAACATTAGTTTACTTGCAATAAGGATCCTACCTGCTATTGAGGACTCCTTCTAAAGGGGAACGTTCCCTGAAACTAGGTGGCCTGTGGAACTCTGAAGGGCAGCTGGGAGAAGGGCGTGGCGGCTTTCCGCGGCATCCCCTATGGAAAGGCGCTGGGGACCCTAAACCCCCTAAACCCCCTAAACCCTATATCCTAAATCCAAAATACTAAACCCTAAATCCTAAACACTAAACCCTACACCCTAAATCCTACATCCTACGCCCTAAATCCTAAACCCTAAGGGCTCTTCGCGGACCTGCTTTTGGGGATCCCTTTGTTGAATGACTTGAGATTGGGGCTCTGGTTATTTGTCTTAATGCGATGAGACAGCCCCTTAAGTGCTTATAAAGCCTGTAAGCTCGCCTTAAAGCCCATAAACCCTTGCTAAATGCTACAATTCCTTTCTTCATCATAAAGGTCTCTGTAGAGCTGTTTTTCTATCACGGCTAAACCCCAAATCCCAAGACCTCCATTCCTAAACCCTGGACCTTGAACCTTAAGATCTGACCTCCCAAGTTCTGAATCCCCTAAACCCTACCTTAACCCCGAATGACCTATATACCCTTTTTAAGGACTTACGTAAGGAAAAGGGTCGGTTCTTTAGGGTCCACGTAAACCCTGAGAGGCTCCCGTGGGACAGCGCAGATTCAAGCCCTCCGAGCCGGCTGTGTCTGGGTTCTTGTTAAGGAAGTTAACTTCAAGTTACCATAATTTAGGGTTCCTTTAAGGGTTTTATGAGGGTTTAGGGTTTAGGTTCTTGTCAAGGAAGTAAGTTTTAAGTTACCATTATAGGGATCAAAAAGGGCTCCTTTGAAGGGATCTACAAGGGTTGCTTTCAGGACCCAGGTTTCTGGATCTTTACGGAACTTAATTTCCAGTTACATGTCATCTACGAACTTATTCAAAGGAATGTAACTTTCAGCTACCAGAGTAAGGAAACCGCTTTTTCTTTAGTAGAGGTCCCTATGATTCTGGCAACTTAAGTTAAACTTAAGCTAAACTCCGCAGCAAAAGCCCAGGCCTGTTGGGAGTCGGGGCGCGTGCTGGAAGTTGCCAAGAATGGTCCGATCTGCTTCCAGGGAAGCTTGGTCTTCAGGGCTTTGGGTTTAGGGTTGAGGGTTTAGGGTTTAGGCTTCCTGGGAAACTTCTTGATCGGTCGTGCCCTTTTGTGGTTTTGGGCTTCCCATGTTTTTTGAGGGGAGGCCACGACAAGGACAATAAGAATAATGTCCCAGAGGCTCCAATATCCCATCAGTAAGGAATATACCTTAGAATCATATTCGGTGTCCTACTAGACTTTGAGGTATCTTCCTCATGAGGGAGTATTGGAATCTCTAGGGTCTCTTCGTCCCCTTAATGATGCGGACCTAGGAAAGGGAGGGCCGGGACGGTTCCACGCCTTCAAGCAGTTCGTTGGCCTCGCTGGCGAGGAAGAGGAGAGCGAGGACTGCTAATACAGGGGCGACCCCTTAAAGGGTACCCTTCTACAGCCTACTTAGGGCTTTCTTAAAAGGGGACCTCTTTCTATTCAGGCCTTCATGTGTTAAAGGGAACTCCAGAAAGTTGGAATATGGTTTCAGGGTAGGATACCTTATAATTTACCACACAGGGGTTAGGATAATCATATTCCAACTTTCTGGCTTTTACTTTAATACTGGGGCGACCCCTTGAAGGGTACCCTTCTAAAGCCTACGCATGGGTAGTTGTCCAAATTAGGGTCCCTTTTTGGGTACCCTAAATAATAGGGGCCGTATTATAATAAGGACCCCCATATGGCTCTCTTAAAAGGGACCTTTATTGAGAGGATTTGTATCACCGCCATTTCCCCCTAATCCTAACTCCCACAGGACTGCTTGAACCTCAACGTCTTCGCTCCCGAGAAGGCAAAAGACTTGCCCGTTTTCGTGTGGATCTATGGCGGTTCGAGTGTGGCTGGGTTCTTGCTGAGGATTTTTGTTTAAGTTACCATAATACGGTTTCCTTACGATGGTAGCTTAAATTAAATCCCTCAACCAGAACCCAGGTGGAGGGTCATGTCGGCTGGGACTTCTACGGCCCGCTCGACAACATCGTGCGCCGTCATCCCTCCATCGTCGTGGCCATGAACTACCGCCTGGGCGTTTTGGGTTACCTGGCACTCAAGGAACTCTCGGCCGTGGACCCCCGAAAAGGCAGCGGCAATGCAGGAATCACGGACCAGCAGCTTGCGATGCAATGGGTTCAGGAGAACATCCATGCTTTTGGTGGGGATCCCAATCGCGTGACCCTCATTGGACAAAGCTCTGGCGGCACGAGCATCTGGCCTCATGTAAGTGAAGGAAACTGTAGGACCATAGGCAACATGCTTTTTGACCTAACCCTATGAAACCCCACATACCTCATACAAACCGAGTTTCAGGCATACTTGGGCACCTTGCATCCCGAAGCCCTAAACCCCCTCAACCTCAATCCTAAGCCCTTGAACCCTAAACCCTTGAACCATAAACCATGAACTCCTAAACCCTAACCCCTAAACCATAAACCCTAAACTTTAAACCAGAGGCATCCTTGGGCACCTTGCATCCCGCAGCAGCCGCGGCCTTTTCCATGGTGCCATCTCGCTCTCAGCGTCTCCGAACATTACCATGGGCCGAGCCACGAAGGACTCAAACCTTGTCGAGTTGAAGGGATGACCCTAACCCGCTAACCCCCTAACCCCCTAAACCCCTAAAGCCCTAAACCCTAAGCCCTAAACCCGAAATCCTAAACTGAGGGATCTTTCAAGGGCTCCTTTAAAGGATATGTGGGGTTCCCATAGGGTTTCCGGGCTGGGCGGCTGGGGTTTGGGGTTCTTGTCGAAGAATTTAGTTTCCCTTAGCAACGGTTGGGTTTCATAGAACTGCTTCATAAGGTTTCGAACTAGTTTTTTCACCAGGGGTTTTTGAGAGTTGAGAGGCGTTAGCTCAAGTTGTCATGACAATGAGCGGTGGGAACTTCTGAACCCTAGACCTCTAAACCCTAAACCCCTAAACCCCCAAACCCCTCGACCCCTCAACCCTAAACCTTAAACCCCTAAACCCCCTAAACCCTAACAAGACGCAAAGGAGGCGCAAGACCGTGCGTTGCTCCTTCCCCACACGCCCTGCGCCGGCATGAGCGAGTCCAAGTTGCTGCTGGGTTCTTGTTAAGGAACTTATAAGGGTTCCTTTTAAGGGTTCTATAAGTGTTTAGGTTTTAGGGCCTAGGTTCTTGCGAAGGGATTATTTAAGTTACCTGATTAGGGATCTACAAGGGCTCCGATAAGAGATCTATAAGAGTTACTTTAAGGGCTTATGGTTTGAGGTTCAAGTTACCATACTAGAGATCTATAGTAAGTAGTATGGTTTCCTTATTTGTGGGGAGCTTGTTTTAAGTTACCATAGCAAGGAAGCCATTTTATTTACCATAGATCCCTATTTATGGTAACTTACAACCCTTGCACCCTAAACTCTTAAAGTAACTCCTATAGATCTCTTATCGGAGCTCTTGTAGATCCCTAGCCCCCTACATATTGGTAACTTAAATTAAGTCCTTTAACAAGAACCAAGGCTCGACTGCCTTTACACGGCGGACGCTGCTGAGCTGGATGGCGCTTTGCCAACTTCCTATTCGGAGCCCGAAGCGGACGCCCCGATCTTCGATTACCCCACGACCAAGGACCCTTAATCCTTAACCCGTGACCCGAGACCCTAAATTAGTAAACTTCTAACCCTTACTTCAGCCGAAAACTCTCAAAACCTTTAACCCTAAACCCTATATCAGTCCTAAGCCCCTAAGCCCTATAGCCCTAAATCCTAAACCCCTCAACCGTAAACTTTTATAAACCCAAAACCCTATAAACGCCCTAAGCCCTCAACCCTAGAGGATGGCCTGGGGAGCAGAATGCACGGATTGGTCTTCGTTGACGGAGAGACCATCAGCATGCCCGTCCTCGACGCACTGAGACTCGGTAGAAGAGGCGTTACCTCAAAGGGTTTCAGGTTTAGGGTTTGAGGTTTAGGATTTAAGGGTTTAGGATTTTCGGCGGTTTGAAAACCCAATAGAATCCTTTCTCTATTTCTGTACAATCTCAAAGGTTAAGCTTTGAGTACCCCTAGGATACTGGACCAGCAAGGAGAATGGGTCTCAACGATGTTCCGCTGCTGCTGCAAAGCACCCAGGCAGAGCTTGACAGTCCAAACAAAGCCGCGCTTTGGGACGTCTGGTCACGCAAGGATTCTGGTCTTTCCTTGCAGAAGTTGTTTTTGGGTTCATGCGTCACGAGTTGCCACTGGGGGCATATCGGAGCATATCGCAAACAAGATCCTTTCCTTATGTAATTTTGGTAATGCGGATTAGATTCTTCAACGGAGGATTTTGGGCCGTTTCTCCACAAGAACTTCGACAAAGCCTACGGGGCAGAGGCGGTGGAGAAGATTCGGAAGTTCTACGACAAGTACGAGCCGCCTCAGTATGGGGTCTTTGCTCTGGACGCCCTTATAAGGGCCCTTAAAAATTGTTATTATTATTATTATAAAAAGTAGAAGGGGCGGGGACTAAACTCTAAACCCTAAACCCTTCTGTGGGTTTAGGGTTTAAGGTCCAGGGCTTTTTGTCCAGGGTTTAAGGTTTAGTTTATTCCCGTCAGGCCTTCGGGTCTACAAGGAAGCCCATGGGAGTCCCTTTAAAGGGGTCCCTATTACAGAATCCTAGAGTCTTAAAGTAGCCTTTAAAGGGTTTCTTTGCGAGTTTCTGTATGGGTTCCTTTGAGGGATCTCTAGGCCTCCCTGTGAAGGACTCGGACACTGGGCTGGCGTGTGCTCTGAGGCGCCTTGCCATGGCAGCCCGCGAAGGTTTCCGATCGCCGGTGTACCTTGCTGTTTAGAGGATCGGGTTTAGGGTTTAGGGTTGAGGGTTTGGGGTTTAGGGTTTAGGGTTCAGGGTTTAGGGCTGCTTAAGGGAGAGTGGATTAGGGAATAGGGATTGAGGACTTAAGGGTTTGGGAGCTTTTAGGGGTTTAGGGGTTTAGGGTTTAGGGTTTCGGGGGGACTACTGTCAGGGAGCACAGGGCCTACTATAAGGGAAGAGAGGGACTACCAAAAACGATTATAGCAGCAGCAAGGTACTGGAGCACCGTGACCAGCATGCCGCAGAGCCCCTGGGCCTTTCTTAAGGCGGTTTAGCTCAAGCTGCCCATGGATGATACGGTTGATGAATCCTGCAGTACGCATAATAAGGGATATACCATAATTCCCATAGTTTAGGGTCCTTAAAGTAATGCAGGATTTGTATCATCAACCGTGAGAATGGTACGGGTATTGCTCGTAATGTTGCGCTTTCATACCATTTGGGTGTTTGTCGAGGGGACTTCGTGCAGGTCATCAGATTAAGGAGAACGTAGGGTATCCGTCAAGTTACTAGTAGAAGGAGCCCTATAAGCCCTATAAAACCCTAATAACCGTATAAACCCTATAAACCCTATAAACCCCATCCTAGAAACCCCATAAAAAGCTCATCAACCCTAAACACCCTATAGACCCTAAACCCTGGCAGGTACCGTGGCCTTCATGTGGGACCTACCCTTCCACAACTGGGACTTCATGGCGGCCGTTGGAAACTGGGCTCTTGTTGAGGGATGAAGCTACCATCATTTGGGGTTCCTTTAAGGGTTCTATAATTAGGGTTTAGGGTCTAGGGCCTAGGTTTTTGTGAAGGGATTTTTGTTCAAGTTACCGGATTAGGGATTTACAAGGGCTCCTATAAGAGATCTATCAGGGTTGCTTTAAGGGTTCAGGGTTTAAGGGTTGTAAGCTACCATAGTAGGGGCCTATGGTAAATAATATGTTTTTTCTTTCTTATGGTAATTCAAACTGAATTCTTTAAACCCCCTTAAATTGTGGTAACTTAAATTTCATCCCTTAAGAAGAACCCAGGAAACTGGGACACCTTCGGCTACACCCCACAGGAGAAGGACCTGGCTTTCGGTGAGCGCCTGCTTGGCGATTGGTATCAGCACCGGGACCTTTCTTCGGTAATCTTTTTCGTTTATTGTTATTGTTATTGTTATTGTTTTTTTTATCATTATTTATTTACTTATTCATTTTTTTTTGGGGGGGGGGTGGTGGGGTGGGCGCGTTTTATGTGGTTTGAAGGCTGAAACGGGTGTCAACAGTTACGACGTCAAGCTGCGCTAGAATCGTAAGTGTGGTTTTCCCGAGAGCTCAGGTTCCTGACCCAGGGGAACATCACAAGTCGCGGCTATGCTCCCGTCCAGGCCACCAAAGCCTCTGAGAACGTCATCGGCAACGATGTCGGCGAGACGGTGACATCCGTGCGGCCGAACCACAAGCATGACGTCTGCGAGTTCTGGGAATCGATCGGCGTGGACCAGCGATGGTGGTGGATCAACTGAGAAGGCCAGTCATGAAGCGACGTCGACTTTCTTCAGCTACCGCATTCCAAGTTTAGAGAGAGACTCTTTTGGACTCTGCTCGGGCCACTCGTGCCCACCAGCGAGTGCGCGAGAAAGCGCTGTATGCGTGTTGAGGGTCTCTCGGGGCTGTGAGGTTCAGAGGTTCAAGGGTTCAGGCTTTGTGGGTTTTGGGGTTTTACGGGGATTCGAGGCCGAGAGTTTCAAGATAGGTTTTCAGGGTTTTCAATGCACAAGAACCCAAATATTGATGCAAGCCTTCGAAGCCCTGCTGCATATTTTGGCATGGCGATGAATAGACTGTAATCCCTAGACCCAGAATGACTGTCTGATGTGTTCCCGTGCTGCTTCGCGAATGCCGCCTGAAACTTGCGAATTGAGTTTTTGTGAGTGCTGTCATGTGGATGCAGAAGCATGACTCTCGCCTTAGCGTCTAGAGCTTATAGGGTTTAGGATGCAAGACTCCACCGATACACGCATGGTCTCCTCTTTGTCTCAAGCTTGAGCGGCAGGTTTTTGGGATTTTTCATTCAGAGACCAAGCATTGATGCAAGATTTCGAAGGCCTGCCGCATTTCGTGACATGGCGAAGAAAACTGCTTTCGAATTCTCACTCTTCGATGGCCCTCACCCCAGGGTCGAACAACTTCTTGCCTTGAAGGCAGATGAATAGCGATGCGCCATTGCAACAGCTTGATGTGCAGATTTGCACGTGAAGACATGTTGCAAGTCAATCCCGGCAGTGATCCTCACAAGTGGCGGGAGGAAAAGAACTTGCAGCGCGAGATGGCTTCTTGATGCACTTTCTTCGTATCTCTTTCTGAGAGTAGGGGGGTAACAGTTCTGCTAGTACGTATTTTCCGTGTGTGTCGGTATTGCGCCTTTGCAAGAGACGGAACAGTTGCGAGCCACCAGATTTTGAACACTTGCCTGACCAAGTGATGATGTTCATTCGACACATGGGGTACTTCAGAAACTGCGCTTCTCAGAGACTGGTATTGGTTCAAGGCAAGATGAGGGGCGTGATGTTCCGTTACGGAAAGGTCCACGAACTTAACACATGCTCTCAGACGTCAGTTTATTTAGACCCCTGGTTACCAGAACCCCTCCTTAAGGACTACAGTCGGGATCCTGATTAGGGCCCTTAAAGCAAGAGGGTCAATCTATTAGGGGTACGATGCGCCAGGAATTGGGTGTATTTTCAGATTGCCCATATGATCGTCAAGGTTCCAATTATCTAGTCACGCAATAAAGGGCCCCGAAGCCCAACTTCAACTTCTGAGGCCCCTACATTGTAAGACCCCTGCAGTTGCCCTTATAGAGCCCTTTACAGGAACCCTCTTCTAATCTAAGGGTAAGAAGTCGCTGCCTTTGATGGTCATGATGGGAGCCCCGATCTGCAATGGCAACTTCGAGTGGCTCAGCTTCAGAATCCCTGGGTCTCGCTTGAGGATTTTCGGCGCAAGGTTCAGGGCTTATAGGGCTTGGGGTTTAGGGTTTAGGGTTCATTGGTTAGGGCTTTGGGTTTAGGGTTTGGGGTTTCAGAATTTGGGGGACCCTCGCCAGAGGTACGGATCGTAAGAGTCTTACTAACCAAGGTCTGCATTGCTATCCCATGTTTTGGGACCATCTCTGAACAAGTTGTGGAGGTTTCAGGAAAGGGATCAGGACCCTACAACCCCTCTGAACCAAGACCGATATCTTCCGAACCTTGAACCCGAAAAGCCTAAAACCGCGAAACTTGAGGGGTTTAGGGTTTAAGGGTTTAGGCCCTGGAACAAAGCACCCAAACCCTCTAAAACCCAGGCTTCTTTGAGCCCTAAACCCTAAGAATGCCCTTAGATCCCTTTGTCGGAATCCTCACGCTGTTGATGGTATACATCCTGCATTACCTTAAGGACCCTAAACTATGGGAATCATGGCAAAGCTTCTCAAAGCCTAAACCCTAAAGCCTAAACGAACCCCAAAGAGTGTCGACGGCGTATAGTGTAATTGAGTGTATGCAGTATAGTGAAACATAGTGAACTAAGTCCATAACATGTAAACCGTAAGCCCTAAACCCTAAAACCTAAACCTTAAACCCTAAATCCTAAACCTTAAACCCTAAACCCAGAACCCTAATCTCAGGCTTGGGCCAACCCTAAACCCTAAACCCCCAAAATCACTAAACTCTAAACTCCCAGACCCCAAACACCCTAATCCCTAAACCCCAACAGCCCTAAACCTCGAAACCTCCTGAAACCACCCTAAACCCTAAGCCCAAAACCCCGAACACTAATCTCAGGCTTGGGCCAACCCTAAACCCCCAAAATCCCTAAACTCTAAACTCCCAGACCCCAAACACCCTAATCCCTAAACCCCAACAGCCCTAAACCTCAAAACCTCCTGAAACCACCCTAAACCCTAAGCTTTACACCGTAAACCTTAAGCCTTAAACCCTAAACCCTAAACCTTAAACCCTAAACCCTAAACCCTAAACCTTAAACCTTAAACCCTAAACCCTAAACCTTAAACCCTAAACCCTAAACCTTAAACCTTAAACCCTAAACCTTAAACCTTAAACCCTAAACCCTAAACCCTAAACCCTAAACCTTAAACCCTAAACCCTAAACCCCGAACCTTAAACCTTAAACCCTAAACCCTAAACCTCTCTATCATATATAGATTTAAACCCTAATGCCTTCGTCGTTTAAGGCCAAACCTTCGTCGTTTAAGGCCAAACCTTCGTCGTTTAAGGCCAAACCTTCGTCGTTTAAGGCCAAACCTTCGTCGTTTAAGGCCAAACCGGGTTTTTGGCCTTAAACGACGAAAGTTTGGCCTTAAACGACGAAGGTTTGGCCTTAAACGACGAAGGTCTGAGCCTCCAGCTTCGTCGTTTAAGGCCAAACCTTCGTCGTTTAAGGCCAAACCTTCGTCGTTTAAGGCCAAACCTTCGTCGTTTAAGGCCAAACCTTCGTCGTTTAAGGCCAAACCTTCGTCGTTTAAGGCCAAACCTTCGTCGTTTAAGGCCAAACCTTCGTCGTTTAAGGCCAAAGGGGCCTGCTAGGGTTTAGGGCCTAGGGTTTGGGCTTTAGGGTTTAGGGCCTAGGGTTTGGGCTTTAAGGTTTAGGGCCTAGGGTTTGGGCTTTAGGGTTTTGGGGCCTAGGGTTTGGGCTTCAATTCTGCAAGAGGTATTGCTTTCTAACGCCCCATTAAGCGAAACAACTCTGCAAGAGATTTCCATTCCGAACTCAAAAAACGGCCAGGGATCCCACACATCTGCGGGCAAAATCTGGCGGAAGTGATCCGCCACCGAGCAAAAAGCCTGTAAATACCGCATTAAACAAAGGGCCAGGGATTTCACATATCTGTTGGCAAAATCTGACAGAAGTACCGATTGCTCACTTCCGCCAGATTTTGCCACCAGATATGTGAAATCCCTGGCCCTTTGTTTAATGCGGTATTTACAGGCTTTTTGCTCGGTGGCGGATCACTTCCGCCAGATTTTGCCCGCAGATGTGTGGGATCCCTAGCCCTTGAAGTGGTGGGTGAGACACGGCGGTTTGGAGAGTCCGAGGAAAGCCAAGAACGAACGCCCCAATGAGCGAAACAATTCTACAAGAGGTTTTTCTTGCTAATGCCGCAATAAGCGAAACAATAGGTTAACAAATCCATTCATAAGTGCAGGCGGAGGAATCTAAAATAAGTCTAAGCTCAACAACTTAAATAATTATATCAGCTAAGGGAGCAATATGAACTGTTGTATTTTCCTAGTGGTGTGGGAAGGCGACATTAAAGTGTGACAAGCTAGGTTATAGGTACAACTCTCTGAATGATGATGAAGGACTTTATATGGCTTATGTTATGGGATTCTAAGGGTGGGTGGGTGTTATTTCTAAACCGTAAATACAACTCTACTTTAAAACTGCTCGATCCGGAGCAGCTGAACCTTAAACCTTAAACCCTAAACCCTAAACCTTAAACCCTAAACCCTAAACCCTAAACCTTAAACCCTAAACCCTAAACCCTAAACCTTAAACCTTAAACCCTAAACCTCTCTTTCATATGATAATTTAAATGTTAATACCTTAGTCGTTTAAGGTCAACCCTTAGTCGTTTAAGGTCAAACCCTTAGTCGTTTAAGGTCAAACCTTAGTCGTTTAAGGTCAAACCCCGGAATTTTGACCTTAAACGACTAAGGGTTTGACCTTAAACGACTAAGGGTTTGACCTTAAACGACTAAGGCTTAAGGTCAAACCCTTAGTCGTTTAAGGTCAAACCCTTAGTCGTTTAAGGTCAAACCCTTAGTCGTTTAAGGTCAAACCCTTAGTCGTTTAAGGTCAAACCCTTAGTCGTTTAAGGTCAAACCCTTAGTCGTTTAAGGTCAAACCCTTAGTCGTTTAAGGTCAATTTTTCTCCTGGCTTAGGGCCTAGGCTTTAGGGTATTAGGGCCTAGGGTTTGGGCTTTAGGGTTTAGGGCCTAGGGCTTGGGCTTTAGGGTTTAGGGCCTAGGGTTTGGTCTTTAGGGTTTAGGGCCTAGGGTTTGGGCTTTAGGGTTTAGGGCCTAGGTTTTGGGCTTTAGGGTTTAGGGCCTAGGGTGTAGGCTTCAGGGTTTAGGGCCTAGGGTTTGGGCTTTAGGGTTTAGGGCCTAGGGTTTGGGCTTCAATTCTGCAAGAGGTATTGCTTCCTAACGCCCCAATAAGCGAAACAATTCTGCAAGAGATTTCCATTCCGAACGCACCAATAAGCGAAACAATTCTGCAAGAGGTATTGCTTCCTAAAGCCCAAATAAGCGAAACAATTCCGCAAGAGATTTCCATTCCGAACGCCCCAATAAGCGAAACAATTCCACAAGAGGTTTGCCTTCCAAACGCCCCAATAAGCGAAACAATTCTGCAAGAGATTTCCATTCCGAACGCCCCGATAAGCGAAACAATTCTACAAGAGATTTTTCTTCCTAGTGCCGCAATAAGCGAAACAATAGGTTAACAAATCCACTCATAAGGTGGAGAAATCTAAAGTAAGTGTAAGCTCGACAACCTTAAACAATTAAATCAGCTGTGGGAGCAATATGAACTGTTGTATTTTCCTAGTGGTGTGGGAAGGCGACATTAAAGTGTGACAGGCTAGATTGCAGGTAGAACTCTCTGAATGATAATGAAGGACTTTATATGGCTTATGTTATGGGGTTCTAAGGGTGGGTGGGTGTTATTTCTAAACGGTAAATACAACTCTACTTTAGAACTGCTCGATCCGGAGCAGCTGAACCCTAAACCCTAAACCTTAAACCTTAAACCCTAAACTCTAAACCTTAAACCCTAAACCCTAAACCCTAAACCTTAAACCCTAAACCCTAAACCCTAAACCTTAAACCTTAAACCCTAAACCCTAAACCTTAAATCCTAAACCCTAAACCCTAAACCTTAAACCTCTCTACCTATAGTTATTTAAATGTTAATGGCTTCGTGGGCAATTGACGTTTTCAGCTGATCACTTCATCAATCTTCGTGGGCACTTCATCAATCTTCGTGGGCTAAACCGTTCGCCCTAGATTTAGGGCGGCCCCTAAACCGTCAGCTCGAGATTTAGGGCGGCCCCTAAACCGTTAGCCCTAGATTTAGGGCGGCCCTAAACCGCTAGCCCTAGATTTAGGACGGCCCTAAACCGTTAGCCCTAGGTTTAGGGCTGATCACTTCATCAACCTTCGTGGGCACTTCATCAATCTTCGTGGGCACTTCATCAATCTTCGTGGGCACTTCATCAATCTTCGTGGGCTAAACCAATCGCCCCAGATTTAGGGCTAAACCGTTCGCCCCAGATTTGGGGCTAAACTGTTCGCCCAAGATTTAGGGCTAAACCGTTCGCCCTTGGCTCGAGATTGAGGGCCTAAACCCTTGGCCCGAGATTTAGGGCCTAAACCCTCGGCCCGAGATTTAGGGCCTAAACCCTTGGCCCGAGATTTAGGGCCTAAACCCTGGCCCGAGATTTAGGGCCTAAACCCTGGATCCGAGATTTAGGGCCTAAACCCTTGGCCCGAGATTTAGCGGCTAAACCCAAGGGTTTAGGGCCTAGGGTTTAGGGCCTAGCGTGTAGGGCCTAGGGTTTGAGTCCGAGGGTGGGAGCTTAGTGTAAGGGCGGCCTTAGGGTTTAGCGCCTAGGGTTTAGGGCGGTCCTAAATCGTTCGGGCCTAGGGTTTGGGCGTCCTTCCTAACGCCCCAATAAGCGAAACAATTCTGCAAGAGGTTTTCCTTCCGAACGCCCCAATAAGCGAAACAATTCTGCAAGAGTTTTTCCTTCTTAAAGCTCCAATAAGCGAAGCAATTGTGCCAGAGATTTTACTTCCTAACGCCCCAATAAGCGAAACAATTCTGCGAGCGGTTGATTAACGAAGTTTCCCGCAGCATGGCATGATGTTTTCTTTTTGTTTTTGTAGTATTTTGCGGCCATGTGTGCTATGATTCTATAAGCTAGGAAGAAGTTGTGTCCATTGTTAACAAAAAAACATCTGCACAAAGGCGAGATCGTATGCAAAATAAAAAGTATTATGAAAAGATGCTCCTAAGAAGAATCGTCTTCTATCCGAATATAAAATAAAGATTGTTATTTCATAATGTGAGGGGAACCTTTGGGCGGGTGGGGTTTTGACTTGAAATAGCTTGACTTGAAATTTCCAAAGTCAGAGAAGCTGAACCCTAAACCCTAAACCCTAAACCTTAAACCTTAAACCCTAAACCCTAAACCTTAAACCTTAAACCCTAAACCCTAAACCTTAAACCCTAAACCCTAAACCCTAAGCCTTAAACCTTAAACCCTCAACCCCGAACCCGAATCTCAGGCTTAAGCCAGATGGCCGAGCGGCTCGCAGCCGTCGCGTCGCGGCTCGGAGGCTCCCAGCTGGGCCATGAGCTCCGGGAGATCTCCGAAGAGCTGAGGCCGGAGATCTCCTTTAAGGGTTTCCTTTGAGGGCTCCTCTTAGGGTTTCTTTAAGGGCTCCTAGAAGGGGTTCCTTTTAAAGGGATCCTAAGGGTTGCTGTAAGGATTCCTATAAGGGCTGTTCCTTTAAGGGCTCCGATTAGGGTTCCTTCAAGGGTTCGTTTATAAAGGGTTCCTATAAGGGTTTCTTCAAGGGGTCCTTTAAGGGCTTCGGGGTTAGGGTTTAGGGATTTGGATTAAGGGTTTAGGGTCAGGCCGGAGATGACTGTCCTTCAAAGGAATACTGTAAGCGGGTTCCTTTAATGGGAGTTCTTTTAAAGGGATCCGTTAAGGGTTACTATCCGAACTGAGGCCGGAGATGGGTTCCTTTAAGGGCTCCTATAAGGGTTTCTTGAAGGCTTCTTTAAGGGTTTCTTTTAAGGGCTCCTATAAAGGTTTCTATAACGGTTCCTTTAAGGGCTCCTTCAAGGGATGAGGCCGAGGATGATGTCTTTTGGGATTTGGGGTTTGAGGTTTATGCTTTAGGGTTTCGAGTTTAGAGTTTCGGTTTCGGGCTTATGATATAGGGCTTAGAGCGAAGAGTTTAGGGTCTAGGATTTAGGGTTTAGGGTTCCTTAAGGGTTCTTCGGCAGGTTTTCTTTAAGGGCCTGCGTCTCTAAGGTTCATTTAAAGGACAGTGGATTCATAGGGGATTTATGGGGGGGGTTTAGGGGTTCCTCGAAGACTCTATAAGGCTTCTGTAGGGATTTATAGGGTGCTTTAAATGTTTTATTCTAGGGTTTGTAAGATTTTTGGCAGGGGTTTATACTTGAGACCGGAGGGCAGCGGCTAAGCGATGGCGGTTTAGGGTTTTTCTCGTTTGAAGCTTAGGGTTGCTTAGGGCTAACAGGGTTTTATAGGGATTTGCAGGGATTTTGCGGGGCTTTTATCCGGGTTCTGCTGGGTTGCGGGTATTCTGGTTCATTAGAAGGAACCCCGTAAGCTCTTGAACATTTAAACCGTACACCTGAAACCTTAGACTCTCTAGACCCCAAGCCCTGTACCCTCAACCCCACAACCCAAACCCAAAGACCCTGAACCCCAAACCCCAAACTCCTAAAGTAATTCCCTAAACCCTAAACCCTATAAGCCCTATCTAAACTCAAAAATCCTGAACCCTAAAAACCCTAAACCCCAATCCCTAAACCCCAAAACCTTAAACCCTAAACGCAAAAGCCCTGAAACCCTACAACCTAAAACCCTAAGCAAGGAGGGAGGCCGAATCGCAAACCCTGGGCACCACTGCGGAGCTTTTGGCAGCGGTAGGCCGTGCCCGGGAAGAGCGCGAGGTGGGGTTCATGGGGCTTTGGGGTTTAGGGTTCAGAGTTGACATGGGGTTTTAAGGTTCTCTTAAAGGTTGTCGTAAGGGCTTTTCGGGGCTTTGCATGGTTCTGTAGAGCTTCACGGGGTTTTACAAGTGTTCTCGTGGAGAGTTTGGTGTGTAGGGTTCTATGTTTAACATTCCTTTGGAAAATCTATGATACGGATATCATTGGGAGTTTTAGTGGTTAAGGGTTGTGGGTTTTGTGGGTTCCAGGGTTTGGGTTTGCAGGTTCCTTTAAGGGTTTAGAGTTTAGGGTTTAGGGTTCCGTAATGCAAGATTGGGTTTTGTCTGGAGGGAATTGGATTTAGGTTTCCTTGTCGTGTTGTATAGGGTGTTGTCTCTACACCCTAAACGCTGAACCCGAAACCCTGAACCTCTAAACCCTAAAACCCCTAAATCCCAAAGCCCAGGAAGATCCCTTCCAGGATCCCTTAAGAGGAACCCTGATACGATCCCTTCATCCCTTAAAGGGAACCGTATAGGATCCCTTGAAAAAGGAACCGCCCACAGCCCTGAAAGGAGTTGCGGCTTGCGCTGGCGCAGCAGGCAGCTCTTGCAGCCGAGCGCGAGCTGGAACTGCAGGGAATCCCAGGAAAAAGGGGTTTAGGATCCCTTAATGGGGGCTCCTATAAAGTACCCTTAGTAGTATAGGGCCCCAAATTAGGGGATCTACTTTCGAGATCCTTTCGGGGGTCTGGGTCAGGGTTTGGAGTTGAGGGTTTGGGGTTGAGGGTTTCGGGTAGAGGGTCTCAGTAGGATTTTCAAAGCGGAGGTGTTTCCATAGGGTCTTATATGGTGGCTACAAGGCTTTGATGAAGGGTTGTGGGAGGTCTACGTAGGAGGGTTTGGGGGCTGTTGATTTTTTGTTCCATCACAGGACCTATTAAAGTTTGGGATGTTTAATTTGGGTCTGCAGCTTTCTTTCAGCCCTTCACCTTCACCTGATTCCAACCCTGAATCCCGAACCCGGAAGAGTTATGCCCTAAACCCTTAACCCTAAACCCTATGCCCTGAAGCCTGAAGCCCCAAAGTGCGAGCTTGAAGGCCTAAGTTTGAAGCCCATTTCTGCGCGCTGGTTAGCATCCCTCGGGGTTGAGAGTTTAGGGGTTTAGGGGTTTAGGGTTTAGGGGTTTAGGGTTTAGGGGTCAAGGGTTTAGGGTTTAGGGGTTAAGGGTTTAGGGGTTTAGGGTTTAGGCGTTAGGGGTTTAGGGTTTAGGGGTTTAGGGTTTAGGGGTTTAGGGTTTAGGGGTTTAGGGTTTAGGGGTTAGGGGTTTAGGGGTTTAGGGTTTAGGGTTTAAGGGCTTAGGGCTTAGTACATGGATAGGAGGCTCCATCCCCAAAGACCTACTCCCATGGT